TAACATACATCGGATATCGAATTACTGTCTCCCCTGACGTGATAGAGCACACAAACTATTTTTCCAACTTTGAGGTTCGTCGCTCGACAGATTATTAGCTCTACCCATTTCTAAGGTTCCATCCGCACATCTGTCAGTCCATTAGAGGCTATAAGACTATCATCCATGACAAAAGTCTTTAAGCAGATGCAGAAGTTCTCATTACTTCTGACTCATCCTGATATGTCTTTTAGGCTTATCGTATCTACAACACATGGATGGGAGATCCATCTAAGCTCTTCCTCCTTCAGAAAGTTATTGAAGTTATTAAGAGAGATAACTTGTTAGAGAAGACTAAGGATGTTGGCAAATTCTTCCAACAAGAATTAGCTCGACTGCAGGTGAGGAACTAACGATGGATTGTACTGATAATATGATATAATTATGGGATTTCAGTCCGCTCACTCTTCAAAACTTTCTCAAGCTCGAGGTTTAGGAACATTCGCTGCTATAGATCTTCCAAACGCTGATATCAGGGACCAGTTTGTGGCAAAGGTACATTTTCATAGGGTTTTGATAATTTGAAGATTCTCAGTGTTTGTTGTTTTAGGCAGTCAATTTGGGTTTACACTGTGGAGGTTGTGGCGAGAAGTCGGTTCGTTTCCGACCAGCGCTCATTTATGGAAAGAAGCACGCCGAAATCACTTTTGACATCTTGGAAAAGACTGTGAAACAGATATAAAACGCCTTTCATAAATCTCAATTTACAAGTTTTCCATCAACGCATACCACCAGTAGTCAGCGCTCTTAATTCTTAGCACCTTATTATTTTCTCGAGTGCGCTGAGTACGATTGTACAATTTGCATAAAATAAACGAAAAAAGGTGTTAATGCTTGACGTCACTGGGCCGCACTAAATCGATTATTGAATTGGTTAATCGTCTTCCTAAGCTAGTGATACGCATTATGTGAGAACATTTACTACCAGTAAGGTCTACCCTCGCAAATCTAAAACTTTTCAAGATTCTGAGTAATTATTGAAAGTAGTGGAGCGAAGGTTCTAAGGATAGCCTGACAGATCATCAATCTTCTTTTAGGGAGAAATCGGGGTTTTATGTTCTGAGGCCAAATGGCGGTATATAGTTCTCCACCCCTCGAATTCGTGCATTCTGATGTATTTAACTTAGGACCTTCTCACGTGTTGGCCAGGAACTCAGTAATGGCCAGAGTCAAGGATGAGATTCGGCGCACAATTTTCATTCACGACTGCACTTCCTACTTATATCCCCAATACATACACTGTGCCTTTTTCATAACGTAAAAAAATCTTCAAACTTAACGGATAAAGGGAATTTTAATGTGATACGGTATACGGGAATGCAAGGAACATTTTGAATTTCTCTAGTTGCACGCACTGCTAAGTTTAGGTAGATTCGTCAAGAAATGAAGGAAAT